TTCTCCTGTCTGGCCTTTGCTGCTGTAGAATTCCCTTTAGCGTGTGTTGTAAAGCTGGTCTGGTGGTGCTGAGTTCTCTTAGCTCTTGCTTGTCTATACAGCTTTCGATTTCACCGTCAAACCTGGACGAGGCCTTTGCTGGGCAGGGTTCTCTTGTTGCAGGTTTTCTCTTTCATCGCTTTAAATGTGCCTTGCCGCGCTCTTCTGGCCTGCAGAGTTTCTGCCAAAAAGTCAGGGATTCACCTTTTGGGGATTCCTTTGTATGCTATTTTTTGCTTTTCCCTTGCTGCTTTTAACATCTATCTTTGTGTTTAATTTTTGTTAGTTTGATTAATATGTGTCTTGGTGCATTTCTGTTTGGGTTTATCCTGTATGGGACTCTCTGGACTGGCTTTCCTTCCCCATGTTAGGGGAGTTTTTTACTATAATCTCCTCAAATACTTTCTCATACCCTTTCTTTTTCTTGTCTTTTTCTGGAACCCATATAATTCAGATGTTGGTGTGTTTAATATTGTTCCTGAGGTTTCTGACACAGTCCTCAGTCATTTTCATGCTTTTTTCTTTATTCTGATCCTTGGTAGTTATTTCTACCATTCTGTCTTCCAGCTCACTTATCCATTCTTCTGCCTCAGTTATTCTGCTATCAGCTCCTTCTGAAGTATTTTTAATTTCGGTATTGTGTTGTTCATCACTGTTTATTCTTTATTTTTTCTAGGTGTTCGTTAAATGAGTAAATCTTTCTTGCATTTTCTCCATTCTATTTTAATATTTTGAAACTTCTCTACTATCATTACTCTAATTCTTTGACAGATAGGTTGGCCTATTTTCTCTTCATTTATTTGGTCTTGTAATATTTTACCTTTCTCTGTGGAACATTTTTTCTTGCTGTCTCATCATGTGTGTGTGTGTGTGTGTGTGCGCGCGCGCGTGTGTGTGATGAGCGTGACTCTATTCCCATATTACTAGTTGTCTGGACTGACATTTCCAGAAGTGGAGTTTGCAGGCAGTTGGGTAGGGCCCGGTCTTGGAGTTAAGATGTGAACCTCTGCGATACTTTACTCTGATTAATATTTCCTGGGACCCGACATTCTCTGTTACTCCAGAACTTCGAACTCAGCCACAGGGCTCATGCCTCATCTCTGGCCTGTGACCTGGGATCCCACAAGCTGTGGGGTGTGAGGGAGAAAAAGAGAGAGAGAGAGAAAAGGGGGAAAAAGAAGAAGAAGAACAGTAGCAAAAAATAAAGAATAACAACCCCTGAAGGGGAAAACCTGACTCCAGTAGCAAAGAGAGAAAAATTAGGGCTGTCTCATAGACTGAGCTCCTGGGCCTGTTGCCTCTTGCTATGCTCAAGAGAACACTTCTTCTTTTGATTACCATCCTGTGGGACATATTAGTGTAAGTCATTTAACCACCAGAGGCAGACCATGTCCAGGCATCACCTGGTGGCAGCTGCAAAAACTGGTTTCTGTCGAGGGTAGAAGCTACTTTCTGGGAGATACTGATGAGCTTGAGTGAGATGAAGGGAGAATGCAGAGATTGCCTCTGTTGGCCTCTCTTCCCTGAAAGCACCACCTTAGGCCTCTGGATTTCTATCATACTGTAAGCCTGCTCCTCAGGCCAGAGCTCTTAGATCAGCAAATGTGCCTCCTCCACTGGGGAAAAGACTGTAGGCATCTTTCAGTCTGCTATCTGTGCAATGCTCTGTGGTTGATAGCCTACCAAAAAGTGTCTCTCTGTCATGAAGGAATACAAGCCTCCCGTTGTCTCCAGAACCAGGTGATCAAGGAGGTTCCCTGGGCAGTAGCTACAGAAATCAGGGCACCAGAAGCCTGTAAAAGTTTCCTTCTGATTGAATCTGGTGCTCTGGAGTGTGGCAGAGGTAGCATGCAAACATGCTCTCTGCTGACTATGGCTAGGTCCAGGGGGTACCCACCATAAGAAGAAGAAGAAGAAATAAATGGTGCCTGTTGTCCAGAGCAAGACTGAGAGAATGCATATCCAGACTGGTATGCCCCCCAGTCTCTGTCCCCAAGTGTTCTAGCACACTCTTTGATGTGTGTTTTAAATTAGATGTGTGCCCCTCAGGCCAATGCTGTAATACATGCAAATGATTCTCTCTCACTTAAAGTCTGCACAATGGGCTGGGCCATTGGATGGGTGAGTGTGATTCATGAGCTCTTTAAGATCTGTTTCTTAGATCATGGCCATCTTAGGGTCTTGTATAATGCATGCAATCTCTATTGACTTTCAAAGCTAGATATTTGGGGGGCTCATTTCTCATATGTAGGTCTTAAAATTTGGGGCACTCCATGTGGGGTTCAAGCTGTCTGCTTCTCAGGGGGAATCTCCTGTTTTTGAGTTCCCTCCCTACTGTGTGTTGCAGTGTCAGAGGTGGGGTTAACTGTGAGATGCGGTCTGCCTTCTCACATCTGATTCACTGTGTGTTTTTTCTCTTTTGCCTGATCTGTAGTTGTTGCTCACCCAGTCTTTAGCCACCACCCCCCCCGCCAGAGGAAATTTTCCATATAGAACTGTAGAGTGGGTGTATCCTTGGAAGGGGGTGAGCAAAGCATCTTCCTGCATCACCATCTTGAATCAGAACCTTGACAGTGTTCTTTCTATAACTTTTCTATTTCAATTTTCTGTAATTTAAGACTTGAATCTAGGAAAACCATTAAATCTGTAGCTGGGAATAAACACAAACCAACCAAATGAAAATAAGCCAAGTTGTTTGTTCGGAGCTTGCTTTAACAAGGGAGCCAGCCACCATTACTTGCATTGGCCAGAGATCAAAGCCTGGCAGGAGACGGGGAAGCTTTATAGGGGAGATAATGGGAGGCTTTGGGTGTGCCCTGAGTGGAGGCTGCTGGAACTGGGAAGCTTGTGGCAGGTAGCTAGAAGAAAGGCATATCTTTAACATTTGTGTTTATTTGTGGTCTTGGCTGTGCTGGGTCTTCACTGTGGCGCTCAGGCTTCTCTGGCTGTGATGAGCAAGGTCTTCACTGCAGGGCGCAGGCTCTAGCGTTCAGGCTTCAGGAGCTGTGGGCTCCGGAGCACAGGCTCCGTAGTTGTGGCACACGGGTGTCGTTGCTCTAGGGCATGTGGGATCTTCCCAGAGCAGGGAGCAGACTCAGGTTCCCTGCATCCCCACTCAGGTTCTTAACCACCAGGGAAGTCTATACCACCAGGGAAGTCCCAAAGTAGGGCTTATGTGACTGGTTAAGTATATATATTTGGATTTCTCTGGTTTGTCCTAAGCTGGAAGCAGTGAGAAAAATTAGAGAAGTTGTTACTTATTAATCAAGTCCTGGTCATTTTGGGCTGACTGTATCAGTCTGATGTCAGGGAGGGGTACTAGTGACTAAGTCGCCAAGGACAGTCATAAGGTCGTCTCATTCGTATGTGGCTGACCCCCAGTGAAAACCCTGGGCTCAAGGCTTAATGATGGTTGACACTGGTCTGCACACGCTGTCACACTGTTTGCTGAGAGAGCTAAGCGCTGCCTGTGCAAGAGGAGAGACAACCGGAGAATTGCATCTGGTTCCCTCCATCAGAAGTCCTGATCTGTAGCCTTTTGCTGGTTCTGACCTGTGTCCTTCTGCTGACATAAACCATAGTAAGCGTTGCCTGAGCTCCAGGTGGAATGGAATGGAACTTGACTAAGGCAGGAAGGGAGGCCCAGAGAAGGGAGCTGAACCGAGCTGCAGGCTGAGTGGTCATGGGGGGGCCGCATTCCAGCCTCCTCCTCGATTGCTGCCTCCTCCCCCTCGGAGCCCAGCGTGACCAGACCGCAGCTCTGTGATGTGGGCCAGAACTTTAGTCCCCAAGGACACGCCCGGCGCCCAGCTGTCCGAGGGCAGCAGTGTGATGCAGACAATGGAGACTTCTGTCTTTTCTCCGGAAAGCACTTTTGATACTTGGCTGAACTCCAGCTCTCCTTTCTGGGAGATTGATACCATCCTCACCTTTCTGTGTGGACTGGGGCTCTTTTTCCGGATCCTTCCCTAGCTCGAGAATAACCCATCCTTTCCTCCTCCTAGGAAACATGGACACATTGGGAAGATAAGGAAACCTTGGCTGAGGCCCAGAAGTACGTGATCCTCTCTTCTTTTCTATTATTATTTCTACTCTTCTGAATCATCTAGAGAGATCCCTGAGAAGGGAAAGGATAGGACATCTATTCTCAGGGAAGAGTAAAGCATCACCCTCTGGGGACAACCAGGCTGGGCAGGGGGCAGGGTGAGCATTTCTCTCCAAAGATCTCAGAAAGCAGTCGTCCAGGCATGTTCAGGGGCTCCGGGGTCTCTCCCAAACACAGTGACCAGGGCCCGAGGACTGGATGCCGAGTTCAACCTCAAGCACAGCAAGGCGCGCGAGCACCGCTTCACCAGCTGTGAACAGGTGCCTTGGACAGGACTGATCTGAGGACAGTGCCGAGGTCTTGAGAGCCTTGGAGTGGGACCCTGGACTTAGGAAACAGAGGCCCACCTGACAGAGTCAGATTCACCCATTGTCCTGAGAATGTGCGCGTTTTTTGAGCAGAGGAACAATGACAAAAGATCCAGGTGAATCTCACTTCAAAATCCTTATGTGTTTCAAAAAAGGAAAACAAAATATTTTCATCCACCTTAAAAATGCATGAAAAGAAAGAAACAGCACAGAGCTCTGTTAGTGAGACGCAGAAAGCCATATTATGTGTGGACACTTAGAGAGGAGAGGCTGAGAACTGGGTCTCAAGTCCTCATATTTCTGCGTCTCAGCATCGACAGGTGCCAGAGGGGAGAAGCGGGAGCAGGAGAGAAGTGGGGCTTTGAAGGGGACGTCCTGCCATTCAACCGTGTGTGCCCCTGGAGTGAGCCCCATCTCTCCGACCCTGAGGGCCCAGGTCCACCGGCTCAGAGGAGGCCAGTGGCAGGGCCCGTCCCTTGGGAGACAGAACCCTCAGGGAAGCTCCTGGAAGAACAGAACACAGACACTACCCAGAGTCCATGCAGAGGATGAAGCTGGAGGGGCTGGAGAAAGGTGTGGCCCAGCAGGCGCCTCTGGGCTGCACCACCGACAGCACCCGGATCGGGAGGTGGGACTCCAGGTCCAACTGTGGACACGCTGCTTTTGTTTTTTTTAATGACTTTAATCATTTTAATTTGAGGTTAATTATTTTTGCACATCGTTTAACTTCTCTCGGATTCATGTATGCAGTGAATGATGCCCATTCTCCCCCACATAGGGATTGGTGAAGGCATCAAGGGGTAATAGATATGAAAGCACTTTGTTAGTGTAAACCCTATCACGAGCTTCACCATCACTGTCAGGGATCATGTGGCCCTGGACCCTGGTACTTGGATTCCAATATCCCAATTGTGTCCCTTAAAAGGACACTGCAATCAGCCTCCTGTAATACCCCTATGCCCTGGCTTCCTCACCATGACCCACTCTGCTGATTTCCAGCTTGCAGAGGTTGCCTGGAATCACTGGAAGAGGTCTGGGATGTAACATCACCTCTGCAAAGGTGGAGAATCATCCCCTTCTCTCCTCGATGGTTCTTCTCCCCAGAGCCTATGGTGTGACCCCAGGGCTGCAGGTAGCCTGGGGTTTGAACTGGAAGGGGGAGCCCTGGGGGCGGGTTATTGTTAAACTCCTGGGGTGAGAGACAGCAGGGACATTGGGAAGTCAGTATGAGGCTCGTGCAGGGCAGTTGGTTGCAGATGCCCACCCCTTTCCAGCCTGCCCAGTTTTCTGGGCCCAGAAACTCCTGGCTGCGGCTTGTTCCTCATGTCTGCTGCAGACACCTGGGGAGGTTCCCTGAAGACAACTTTCATCAGGTCTCCTCTCAAGATACCCCAGGGGAGATGTGCAAAGAAACGCCTCCTGGAGCCCAACAGCTGTGGCAGAAAAAGCCTGCTCCCACCATGTCCTCCATGTCTCCTCTGCCTAAACGGCCTCTGCCTCGAGCCTCCAGCTTTTCTCCAGCCTGTTTCCACTCACTTAGATTCATCCCTGAGAGCCTCTCCAACACCACAGTCTCTCCTTCCCCTGGACAGTCTTCCACCCACTTGTTTTCTCTCCTTCCCCGCCATGTCATCCTGATGCAGGGAGATGCCTTCCACCTCAGCACCATGAGCTCCTTGCTGAGTCTCCCTCAGGGTGACCCCACGGCAGTAACACCGGGCACCACCCCACAAAGGTCACCCCCAGGCTCCCCTTGGAGACCAGCCATCGTAGGGCTCGTCCATTCAAGTTGCCCCCTTTCCACCCTGTCTTGGTGGCGGGGGGCTGTGAAAGAATGGAGCTTCTCCACCTTGACACACTTGGGGCCCAAAAGAATAGCCTCCCACACACTCTCCAGAGGCGTGATTTTGGTGAGACCCAGAAAGAGGCAGGTAGAGGCAGGTAGCCTCTCTTTTGTCAGCGCGGATGCCCAGAAGCTGCTGGAGATGCGAATCACCAGGAGAGTGGAGCTGAAGATTTGGAAGGAGTAAGAAGAGGAGGAGGCAGGCTGCCATCCGCCTTCACTGGGGAAGAGAACTAAGTCGCGGAGTGACAAGCAGGACACCTTGGGCACCAGCATTTCCGGAGGACAAAAGGCAAGGCAGAGCAGCTGCTTGGTCCCGAGAGGGCCTGACGCGCTGGCGCACTGAGGGGCCGTCCACAGAAGCCGTGCAGGCAGCCCTTCGGGGTCTCCCCTTCCGCAGAGTGAGTCTCTGGTGTCTCCTGACGCAGTCCCTGGGTCCCCTCTAGAGTCACACCCTATCTTATTCAGTGAATGCTCTAAGGCTGAACAATTCCAAATTCAAGCTAAACTAACTTCACAGCTGCCATTGGTCCAGCCCTTACCCACGCTGTAGCCCAGCCTCGGCCTCAGTCCTGGACCCCACCCATGTCCCAGTTGCAGCCATCACCTCTGAGTCACATTTAGACCCAGGCCAGACCCCTACCCTTAATTCCAAACATGCCCCAGATTCAACCACCACCTCGGGCTCACGTGGAGACTCAGGCTAGACTCGACTCCAATTCTTGACTCCAACCATGCCCCAGTGTCCACCACCAATTCAGGCTCAAGTGGAGACCCAGGTCCAATCAAAACACTGTGGAGTTATGACTCCAACTCACTTTCAGACACCACCTCCAGCTCATGTGGACACCCATACTCACCCCAACCCTTGACTCCAACCACAGCTCACTTTCAAACACCACCAACTCACATGGGGACCCAGGCCCGAACACAGTCCTTGACTCCAATCAAACCTCAGTCACAACCACAACCTCGGACCCACATGGGGACCCACTGCCCATCTCACACTCTCATTCCCAATGGAACCATCTTCCTCTCAGCTGAAGACTGGGTATGATGAAGTGTCTTGCCATATAGTCCAAAATAAGGCACAAACTTTGATGCTCAATGCAATTCAAATCCTGCAATGTCACTTTTTTAAAAAGCAACTAGAAAGTGGGCAAACTTTACCCTCTTTGGTTAGAAAAATCTCAGCAAGTCTTTAGCCAGATCACTCCCAATCTTCCCCAGGAAACAGGTCTTCCCAGGCATGCAGATTGGTGTCCGTCATTCCTGGGGGTTTGATCAGCCCTGAGGTTCAGGCGAGACTGGGGGACCCTCTTTCCAAAACGTTCATGCAGCAAGAGAGTGGCTGCCCCGCAGAACCCAAGAGTCTCAAAGTGATGCAGCCTCAGGGTGAATCCCCAGGGCCTTGGCAGGCAATGGGCATGAAGAGATCCTCAAGGCTTCCTGCAGGTGTAGGCAAAAGCAGCCAGGAAACACAGAAAATGACGTCCTGGTACCTAGCAAGGATCCCAGCAGGAAAGCTTCTGGGCCAGGATGTAAGGCAGAGTGTGGGGAGGAGCCTAAAAGTTCTGTACGTGACCTCAGCCAACCCTCCAGTGAAGGTCCCAAGTGCAAAGCCTGAGTTAGAAAGAGAGTTGAGCCCAGGCAGGAAGCATCCAGAAGAAATCCTGGGGGTCCTTATAAGCAGGAAGGCACAGCAGACCCATGAGAGTTGGATCCCTGTTAATGTCTGTTGTTCAAGGCTTTCTACAACAACTTCATAGACCTTCCTGAAGAGCCAATTGCTCCTATGGGAACAGAAAATGCAGGTTGTTCTCAGGATTGGGAAGCTTCCGTGGAGACTTCCTATGAGTCTCTTGTCCTCAGTCCTCATATTCAACAGGAGCTGGAAGCTCACATAATAAAGTTTCAGGTGAGGCACAGATGGGTCCTTCTCCTCAGGTTCATATATAGTTTGAAGTTGAAAACTTCTCATCACATACACCTTCCAAAATCCATCTTGAAGACCACCAGTGATTCTGGGGACCACCCAAAGCCAAGTTAACAGAGGGCTCATCCCCATCCAGGAGAGAAAATGACAGCAATGCAGGCAGTGCCCACCCTGGAGAGGCCCTGCCCTGCCCCTACCAGGCAGCTGAGGAAGCCTGGGGGGCTCTGTGAGGAAGCCTGGGGGGCTCTGCGAGGAACCTCAACTGGCAACGCCCGGAAGCCCTCAGAGGCCCCTCTGACGGGACAGGAAGACAAGCCACCTCCTCAGGCCCTCACATACAGCTTTGTGGGCAGAATCTGGCAGAGCGAGTCTGCTGTGGAGGCTGAGAAAGGCAGCCTGGAGCCCAGTCCACATCCAGCAATGGCCAGGAATGAGCCGCAGGAGGAATATGGGGATCAGGCCGCCCCAGAGACTTGCTCTAGTGTGACCGTCATGGACCTTGATGAATGTTTCCAGTCTTCCAGAGGACAAGAGGCTGTGGCGGGAGACCCTGCTTAGAAGGGTACTTTTGAACCTAGTCTACTAATCAAATCCCAAATAATTAATATTGATACGAGGAGATCATGGTCTCCAAGGTCCCATAAAAATCCCTCCTCGAACACAAAGTCTGTTGCCACAAATCCAGAAGATGTAGACTTTGATGAACGGTCTCATAAGCTTAAGTTCCAAGGGTTCTTAGACTGGCAGAAACAGGCTAAGGCCAGGCCACGTGCCTGCTCCTTCAAGACTGTGCCACTGAGAGGCTTCTCAAAGACTGTCACTCAGATATATTCATTGCCACAAACACCTTGGCTTCTCAGGAATCTCTGTGCTGTTCTGAGACCTTGTCCAGCGGAGACACGTCCAATTCCCACACATGTGATGTTACACTGAGTGGAGAGAGCAGCCAGGGACAGCAGGAGGCCCTGAGAGGGCAGCCCCAACATAAGAGTCAGCGCAGGAAGTTCATCTCCACTGACGCGAGAGAGGCTAATGGGAGGCCCAAACTAGGACAGCATAGAAAAGGGTTGGTGGTACAGAGGTTCTACCAGGCCCTCAGGATGAGCCACCCTGGCCAGAAAAAGGAACCAGCAGAGTCCCTACAAAGCAAGTCTCACCAGTTAATCCTGAAAAAAGGACAGGTTTCTTCGGAAAACCACTTCAGAGAAAGGATTAAGCACTTTCTGCAGTGGATTTGCCCCTGAAGGCAAAAGACTGGAACAAGCCCTGCAAAAAGCCAGCCTGCAGCAGACACTGCTCAGAGCCAGGGAACTGTTGAAAGAAGTCTGATTACAGACAGCAAGGCTGTTGAGGCTCAGGCTCTCATGACAGCTGTTGGACAGATCTTAGAGGAGAAGATGGAGCTTCACCATGGTCCTCGTCTTCAGAGCTTCACTGGTACAAAGCAGAACTGCAGGCCCCGTTAGGTCCAGCTTACTGCTACCACGGCTTTCTTTGAAATCAAGGGCAAAGGAGAGTGATGAGACAAACAGCCCACCATCAGCGAGCTACCCCTACAGGTATCCTACAAAGGCCCCCACAGCGAGCCACAGGTATCCTACAAAGAGGAAGTGGCCCAGTCCCAGGAACAGCACGTGGACCTTCCCACCCAGGGAGCCAGGTCCCCGTCCGGGCAGAGCCTGCCAGCACAGATCAAGGATGACGAGTGTCCCAGGCCGTCCCCTCCGCAGCCCAAGGCACTGTCTTCTTCAGAAATATGCCTCTGCTGGTCAGTCAGAACATCATTGTCCCAGCATTCCTGGTAGAAAAACTCTTCTCCAAGAAAAAATGCATACCGTGCATAAGAAAC